TCTAACTTTTAAAACGCTGAATTAAGGGATTTAATTCAAACTGGGGTAAGTTGTATCGTTTCTGGCAGATTCCTCACCAAAGAGCAGTTTCAGCTTCATACTCAAATGAAACAGCAGTATAGAAGAGCCATGCAGCAGAGAAGCAGACCCCCTCCCCCTCCTCCCCCCCAGCCTCTCAGCCGTCCCAGGACCCCGCTGTCCAGTGAAGCGCAGCCTCCATACCAGGGTTCTAGCTAGGAGTCACTGGAAGGGCAAGCTCATTAATTATCTCTCCCTCTCTTCCTCCCTCCGTCCTCCCATCACACCCTCCCTTCATTACCAGCAAGGTTAATCCCCCCTTATCTCCCAAGCCTCATTTTTCATGGCTCCCTTTCGACGACACTTCCTCCCTCCCTTCCGTCGTCAACCCTTCTCCATCCCTTGCTATCTATGATTCCTCCTTCTCTTCTACTGCAGCTGCTGAGTTTCTTCTTCTGCTGTCCTTTTGATAGTTTTGCATTTATCCCACCTATTTTTATTGTCACTTCTTCTACTTATACTCCCCATTACCAGAGGATCTTCCCATTTCCGTCTTTCCTTTTCTCCTCTCCTCTCCTCTCCTCTCTTCTTCTTTCCTTTCCTTTCCTGTCCCGTCCTTTCCTTTCATTTCCTTTTCGTTCCTCTCCTCTCCTCTCTTCTTCTTCTTACCTCTCCTCTCCTCTCCCGTCCTCTCCGAGAAGAGGAGGGAAGGGAAGGGAAAGAAGGACATTAAGGGTAGGGACAGAGAAGGAGTTAGAAGGGAGGGAATGGAAGCTTTCTTTCTGGCCTTACAGACCAACTCTATCTCCTATCTCTCATCTCTTTTCTGTCCTGGCTTTCCATTCATTCCTATCATCCCCTCTCCTCTCCTCTCCTCTCCTCTCCTTCTCCTCCTCCCTCTCCCCCTCCCCTCCCCTCCCCTCTCCTCTCCCCTCCTCTCTCCTGTGCTTACCTTGAACAGGCCGTAGTGAGTGTAGAGAGTAGATCTATTACAGCTTATCACTAAAGGACAGGCCAACGCGGAACGCCGGTGAAATATGGCTCCTGTCACCGCCGCGCTGAACACGACCCGTGCACAGGGCTCGAAGAGCTGTGAGGACAGGGGGGAGAAGCGAGGGTGGGGGGTACGGGGGCCAGTATCAGCCCCCTAATTCAAATTAATGGAAAGATTTTCAGGCTTGATGCCGAACGTTTGACAGTGAATTGGCACACAATTAACCTTGTCTCCCTCTCCCCTCTGCACTCTCATCCCCTCTTCGGTTTCATTTGCTGCCTTCTCTTTCCCACTCTCCCCCCCCCCTTTACCTGTCACGCTCCTTGACACAGTCTTATTGATTATGAACTAAATGGAGAAGATGATGTTTTATTAGATAACTGACACTCCCGACTGTTGTGGGCCAATTGAATTAGCTAGGAATCACTGACATCCACGTATCGTAACATGATGTGACTAAGCATCATTTGAGGTTTAACACAAAGCATTCACAACTTCATATCACCGTTCAGAGGACGTGTGAGGATCATTCCCATGACAATATCAGCACCGATGATTGTTTGTAGCAGTTTTGTACCCATCAGTTAAGAACATTATTGTGACATGAGCATTATTTTGTAAGAAAAATGTGCTTTTGTCATGAATGTGTGACTTGCGAGCTTGCTCTATGCACTGCGACATCCGTCCAAGGAATGATAGATTTCCACTCACCGACCTGTTTAAAAGACCATCCGTCCTGCAGCCACCGCCTCTCAGCTAGACTTTACTCGCAGCTTTTATAGGCCATTTCACCTTGGGTTCCAGGTCACGGAACCAAACAGCCTATAGCTCTCAAACAGGGGACAGGAACTGGAGTGCTAGAGAGGAAGAAAGGAGAGATGATATATGAAACAGTGTTATTTGGATAGAGCGGTTAGTCCAATTCATGTTGTGTTGAACCAGAATTTTGGCCAGCCAAGAATGAATGTTTCACTTTGTATCAAACTGCTACCAAACCATAACATAACGAAATTAGCAAATGTAGGTCGTTTATCTGGTGTGACTCCAATGTTAGCAGTGTGGCTCACAAACTTGGAATAATGCAGGAACATTCCCAAGTTGGAATAAGGGATGTTTTTCTTGTTTTTCCCTGTCTGCTGAAATGGCTGTGAATGCAGCATTAGTGCCGCATTTTTTGTTCAAACGAGTGTCAGTGTCATGACAGCAAGCGGACGACGTGTGAGGCTGTTCTTCCGCTAAGCTATGCTACATGCTATGATTGAAGCACTTTGCTAGCATGTAATATTTGACACCATGTTCAGCCAGTCAATGTTAGCATGCTAATATTTTTAAATTAGCACCAAAAATAGAGTACAGTAAAGGCTGAGAAGGGCATTAGTCTAGCAGTCATTTGGTCTATAAAGCAAAGCATTTGGGAAAATGATTGTGCTTTATTGTAAGTCAGTGATCTACCAAAGAGTTGAGACACTTCAGGCTTGACTTAAAGAGGCCCTAATATGCTTTATGTTGACCTTTCCTGTATTTTGTTATATAGGTTTTTGTAGATGTAAATCGATTGAACTTATTTGTTTGCTTCCGTAACATAGTGACATTACTATTAACACTCGTGGTTATATTGTCTAGTGCTCCAACACATTGTGCGTGATTTGCTACGGGGTGGGACATCTCTGAGCGGTTGACGAATCACAACACCAATCAGAGCAGACTGGGTTTCATACAGAGGGTGAAAAGAGGTGCTGCAGTACAGGCAGTATGAGAGGGAAACAAAGAAAATGGTCAACATTAAAGCATGTAAACATGTCACAGTATAGGCACAAAATACAAACATGAAGCTGAAAATGTGCATGATTTGTCCTCTTTAGGAGGTGGACCATCATTGCCGTCATGGCAGCAATCTTAAACATTTGAAACAATATGAAACCATCACGCAGAAAGTGATTAGTCATTTAATTGAAGATCTCTCCGTCAACCCCTTTGACAGAAATGAGTGTCTTGTGTAGAGGAAAAGGAAAACAAGCATTAATACTGCTTTTAATAACTGTAGTAGCCTGGTTGAGTCATAATCTAAAAGATGAGAGGGATGAAAGGAAAGGAGTGTGTAGGCGTCTAGATGTGTCCTTGTGTCAGCACAATGTTGCTGAGAGTTGATGATTATCCGACTTTTCGGAGTCCCTGCCTCAGCACATGTGACATGGACAAACTACAGCGGTGACACATATGACAGTTATGTGACAGAAAGCGAGGCATTGTGGAAGGGTGTCAAAGAACTCGCTGATGTGACATTTATCATGTCTAAGAATAAGGTTCAGCAAACACCTTCAAAGAAAAGACTAAGAAGTACACATGCCAGGTCAGCCCTCTCAATATTAACACGAAGGGTTGTATCTCTTAGGTGAACATTGAAAAGGATCACACGAGTTGTGGTTAGTTCAAGTCACCACATTCCACATTATCCTATATATCCAAAGTGCTACAAATTGTAATAAGTGTGTCAGGTACATTTCTAGCAATGGATGGGATTATACAGCTGTACCTGTGAAAATGGCATGCTGTGTTACAGATGGCTAATTCAGCTACTTGATTTCAGCTTACTGTAGTCCGTGGTTGCTCTGTTTTAAAAAAAAAAAACTAAAACCCAACCCATTCATCCTTATAATATTCTAGGGAATATCTTATTTTATATTTCAAAGGATTTCCTTGAGGCTTGGGAAAAGCCACATGAGTTAGCATTGAAAGGTGGGCGGGTAATTTGTGTGGATAGCGAGCTTAAAACTGACATGAGACCATAAAAACATTTAGGTGCAAAAACAGTAATAGCCTAAAGCTTGACGGGCACTTTCATGAAGCCCACCAAGGATGTAAATCCAGAATGAAAAGTAGTGATGTAAAGGCATACACGGATTTGTAAAACTGAGATTGCGGATAGTGCAAAATAAACTGGATAGATATAATGCTTGAGGCTGTACTACAAGGACATCATCGAAACACAGTCATATATTCAAAAATAAAATTGTGTTAGATCATCACAAAAAGCTCTCCAATAGATTATGTAAGAGCTTAAAATGCAAACAATAATCCCTATAGCTCAGCCTCCTCTCAGCACTCAGCAGACAGGCAAAGTTTCTATTGTTCTAATGCAGCGTTGCCAGTAATGTCCAAGGTAGAGAGACGAGAAGATAACAAAATAAATAAACCTGTGTCATGATTTGTATTGTTTGGAGGTCGTGATCCTCATTATCCACACCACAAAAACAGCATACTTGGCATCATGCATGCCAGAAGTTGTAGTTCGGAGAGTTCCCCTTTAGCACCAGTCCCCATGACTCACGACACATCCGTGTAAAGGGCTTAGCACAAGGTAGGAGGGGATAAGCAGCACCCCTGATGATCAAGCTGCCTTTGCTTTGAAGCAGATGTGAGCATGTGTGTTCACTCTCTCTTCCCTCTCTCTTCCTCACTGGCTAGTGTGCGGGCGCACGCTGTTGTGTTCGTGCACCTCACGAGCGTTAAACCAAACGTCACGGCTGTTAATGTATCCTGATCAGCCCACTGAAAATGAAGCTAATCTGTTGCGAGGGAAATGGGGCAGGAATTAGCTCTCACTGGTTTCCTTTTAGCATCTGAGGTATCCCGCCATTTATCTCCATACATTTCCTAGCTGCATCCCAACTCACAACTAGTGGTTGTGTAGACCGATGCTCGCTGTGTTTTCAGATGACAAAGACCGACATTTATTGCAAGTAATGATTGATTTCATTCTTGTCAAAAAGCCCTGATACACATGAATTGAAATTCCAGCCTGAAAATTTGTTCTTAGTCTCAAGTTGAATCAACAGGAATTTCAATTCATCTCATTCAGTTTTCAGCTATGAATGATTTCACTGAAATTGAATGAACTGCAAGCCACGTATCAGGGCTACCTGCATCAAAGTCTTAGGCAGCAGACTGTTTAGTATGTTAAGTATAAATGTGTTTGTTCTTCTTGTAGACCATTGTTCGAGGGAACCGGCCCCCCAAAGATTCTTCCATCAACGGCCTGCTGGAGGATTTCGACAACATCTCAGTAACGCGATCCAACTCCCTGCGTAAAGAGAGCCCACCGGGCCCCCACCAGGCTGGAGGCACCTCCAAACCCTCCGGCAGTGGTCACCCCAACGCCCCCGAGGAGAACGGATTCAACCATTACTACTCCCGCTACTCCTGTGACCTGGACACTTCCAGCAGGGACTTCTCTCTTGACCCCGGCAAGCCAAGCTTCTCTATAGATGGGGACTGGGCCGCTGGGAGGCACTATCGATTCACCAAGCAGAATGGTCACTCGTACCCCATACGCAGCCCCTTCTACCCGGACGCCATGCCCCAAAAATCAGACTATGGCAAGCTTCCCCCAGACTACCACACCTACTTGGAGAGCAAAGGGCGCTCAGCTGATGAGGTGGCCTCCACGGTGGGGAGTGGTGTGGGCTCCAGTGGGTACTATCGGGCGTCTGTGGGGGGCTCTTCTAGCCAGGACTACCGGGACACTTCAGTGGGCACGCCATCTCGTGCCTCACTACACAGCGAGCAGATCAATTACCCAGACAGTGAGTGGAGCTACGGCGGCGTAAGGGACGAATACGAGAAGCGGCCTAAGAGTTCCTATGTGGCGCAGACTAGCCCCACGCCTGCTATACGGCAGCGGTCTAGGTCAGGATCTGGGCTGCAGGAGCCAAATGTCCCCTATGCTGCCAGTGGGGCTTTCAAGAACCCTGCACAATCACATCCTTACAGCTCCTACACCTACCCCCGCCTTTCAGAGAGTCTCGCTAACTCACAGACCTTAACCAAGGTAACTACACCAACAACAAAGTATGCATTTTAGTAAGGAAAAATACATTTCTCCATGAATAAATGTGACAGGGGCTTTGACAGTTTACTTTAAACAGCTGAGCGTATGGTATAAGCTAAAACATGGTTACAGTGTCTGTCCTCCTGCACTCTCTTTCAAGTAGTCAGTCCTTTTCCTCTTTCTCTCTTCCTCTGTTTCTGGTTGTCTCTCATTTTTGCTCAATGATTGATGGTGGTAGCTGTTAATCTACTCTTCAGGCTCTGCCACATACAGAATTATCGCCCTTCAGTCGTCACTGTCTCTGCACAAAGATCAATTAATGCTCCTGCTGATCATCGACCAGAAAGCTCTGAACTACAGAGAGTTACAGGGACTAGACAAATAGAGGCACAAAGGAAGAACTCACATGGCAGGGGGAAAGTGAAAAGGAGGGTGAGAAAGTTAAAAAAACGAAATCAAATACAAAATAATGACTGAAATCAAATAGAAAAAGCCTCAAACATTGAAAAAGTTAATTATAAAACGTTATATAAAATTATTTATTCTGGTAAAACTTTATAATCGAATAAGGTTTTAGGTAGTCACCAGTTGCATATCGTCTTTTCATGGTGTAATTAGTCCAAAAGAATACCAATGATAATATCATTATATCTAACAATTGAAGTTATGTATAATATTAGCTTGGTGGTCAAAAGAATGATAGTATGCAATTTCATATCTAGCAACTTAAGAAAGGTACATTCAGAACGATGAAATGTACATACTGTAGCTGTGTGTCGTCTGCATAGAAGTGATATGTTGTGTTTTCTTTAGTGACACAGAAAGTGTATTAACACTATTCTGTGTGAAGTTAATAAAGATAGACATGTTTTACTGTTCCATACATCGTGTAGGGGTTACTTCTAACCAAAATAAATTACCAAACTGACATTTCTATTATGTCATGTTTCATAGCTTAGAGCTTCCCATTGTGTATAATCACCTGCACTGTAAGTATATCTGCAGTGGGGGGGGGCGTGCTGCAGCCTGTGATGTGCTCCAGTGGAGCCGTGGGACAGACTCAGATACCCAGGAGACCACACACACGAGCAAATAAACCTTCCACGCATTAGTGGTTGTGTTATGAAACCATATGTGTTCTGTATAATTTACTCGTGATGATCGTTCATACCAATATTGTTTTCTGAACCTTGTTTGAAAAGACGTTAGGTAAGTTAAAAAGTAATAAGAGGCCAACAGTAGAGGGGAACAGCAGGGGAAATGGTCACTCTATGAGGTTTTATTTGTGTAAGTTCTTTATATATTCTTTAAAAAAGCGTTCAGTGTTCCATCAGGCCCATTTTAGAGGTGTGTGTACCGCTATCACAACACCCCACCATTCCTCCTTCCCACATGGTGAGACCAGTAGCTGAGAGGAGAACTGGGTTTGCTGATGTAGATCCCAGGGTGCCTTGATGAAAAACCATTTAACCTGCATGCTTCAGTAAATAGCCCCTCGTAGAAAAAAACAGCCACGGAGAATGCAGGAGTAGCAGGATTTGAAGTGATGCAGGGGAAGGTCATTTTCCTTACATATGGTTTATTATTACCACTTTCGTAGTCGCCGTGCTTCAGGAAGCACATTTTCTTTGCTGAAAATGTACCGTGTGTGAAGGGAATGTAAAGATTTAACAGGCTGCAGTCTCATGCTGTGAATGTTGATGCAAAAAAAGGCAGCACTGCTAAAGGATAAGAACTCCTCCAGAGTCCAGACTATATTAGGTGTATTGTTAATATCTGATTTGTTGTTCTATTAAGTGTTTTGTCAAATCAAATTAAATATAAGCCACAGTAGAGAGTGGGTTGAAAAATCAATGCACCTTAATTTGCCTTGTGATTTTGCAGCAGTGGTATAAAAAAACAAAGAAAAACAAGCAGTCATCTGACAGCTTAAGAATCTCTATTCTTCCTGGCTCATGGACCTTGTAACAAACCCACCCCTCTCTCTCTCCTCTCTCATTCTCTGCCTTTTCTTCTCTTCCCCTCATTCAGCCCACTCACACCACTGAAGTAAATCCCTCTTTCTCCCTGCTGTTGTTGGGAGCCGGTGGGGATGTTACAGTAGACAGCACGGAGACTTGGCCACACACAGACGCACAAACACACACACACACACACACACACACACACACACACACACACACACACACACACACACACACACACACACACACTCCCCCCTTTATCTTCCTTCCTCTCTCTTTCCTCTCTCTCTGTGTTATGTGGCGGGCTCAGTGCCGCAGCTCTCGGTGACAAATTGATGTTGCGGCACTTTCCCTTTCTGCAGCCTTAGCATAAAACTGGCCGAACGATGTTCCACCGCGGAATTCAATTTCACAGTTGAGTTAGGTTGTTGATTACCCTGCCAAACTCAGATTAATGCGCGTTTAACCAACATGGATCAGGAGACCCCTGGCTGACAGCCAGCCAGCGGTGCCGGCCAACGATAGGGGGGCGCGGGCCTGGGCCGTCCCAGCAGCAACCCCCCCCCCCCCCCCTACACCTGCCTCAGAGTGATTGATTAAAAGAGTTCACACCATGTAATTATACACCATCCCAACACATCAGGACTCCTCCTCCTGCTCTGTCTCTGCACATGTGTGTGTGTCAGTGTGTATGTCTCTGTGTGTCAGTGTGTATGTCTCTGTGTGTAATGGCAAAAGGAGAGAGTTACCGGCACAGAGATCTTTAAAAAAAAAGAAATGAGAAAAAGAGGGAGTTTTTTTATTATCCTCTCAGTCTCCTGAGAATTTATGAGAAACATTATTTTGAGGCGTCCCAGGAAATGTAATTTAATTTAATCTATTCAAGGCGGCGGCAGCTTGATCCACTTCTGTCTGTTTATTCTTTATGGTCCACCTATTGATGTCTGGCTCATCATACTGTCATCATTTCTTGTCTTTGAAAGATAAATGTCAACAAAACAACAAAGTTATAAATATTCTGCTAGTGTTATTGTGACAGACCATTTCTATAGCTGCTGAACATGCAAAATGTATTTGATCATTTCCTCTAAGCCAGTCAAATATCAATTTTGTATATATTACTTTTCTCCAGTTCTCCATTTAATTATACCTTAGACATGTCAAATAGGATTGAGTTGGAGCATGTTGCCACAATAAATGTGTACACAGCCTTATATATTAACATAGTATCCCATAATACATATATAAAATGCTGACTTTCGAAATAACCTCTGGTGTGGTCATCATAGTTTGAGATTCTGCTGAATGTTGTGTAAATGTGTGTGCACACAATTATGTGTGTACGTCAGGCCTATTATGAGTCAGAGCAGCTGAGTCAACTGAGCTTTTAATAGTTAATCGCTGCATTCTTACTTTGTGTGTGTGTGTGTGTGTGTGTGTGTGTGTGTGTGTGTGTGTGTGTGTGTGTGTGTGTGTGTGTGTGTGTGTGTGTGTGTGTGTGTGTGTGTGTGTGTGTGTGTGTGTGTGTGTGTGTGTGTGTGTGTGTGTGTGTGTGTGTGTGTGTGTGTGTGTGTGTGTGTGTGTGTGTGTGTGTGTGTGTGTGTGTGTGTGTGTGTGTGTGTGTGTGTGTGTGTGTGTGTGTGTGTGTGTGTGTGTTTGTGTATATGCGTGTACTTAGTCTTCAGCACTGCTTTAAAGAACACTCAGGTGCTTCTTTGATCATAAGGAAGCGGTGTGTCCCAGATCTGAATATTCCCTGGGCTCCTGGTTGATGAATGGTGTAGTTGTGAAAAAATAGATGGGGGGTAGTGATAAAGTATGGTGCCTGTCCTGTGGACTAAATGTCCTCTGTTAGGTCTGTCAAGGGCTAATGTACCCGCACACATACCTAGAATTAGAGCTGGCATTTGTAGGCAGTCACGCATTTACATCACAGAGCGTGTGTAACTGTACAGTGTTGTTTTCTTTAAATGTTGATCCACAGTCCAAATAACTTGTTCCTGCTTCTCCTCCAGGGTGAATACGAGCGTCCCGCACGTGACGGCAGTCCCCAGGTTACGGGTGGTGACACGTACCCCAGAGGGCCCCTAAAACAACCTCAGAGCCACATGAAGCCACCTGGCTACCCTCCAGTACACCTGCCATATCCTCCTGTCTTTCACCATTACAAACCTTCACCCTACCATCACCCCCCCTCCCAGCCCAGCCCACCATACACCCCTCAGGTACAGTATGTTCACGATGCTCACTCATACAGACAATTACAAACATTTATAGAGATTTAGGCCAGATGTCATTTTAATTATTGTGATATATTATTTCACTTGAATGGGAGAAGTACATAATATTATAAAAAGTATAAAAAAAAGAGTAATGACACTATCCAGTGAAAACCATGTGTCTTCAGATGTGGGCTCTTTGAAAGATGAACCTTAATATTACAGAAGGTTTTGAAAATGACTCTGCTTCTTAAACCATATAAAGATTATATTCTGTCGTGTTCATTGTAGGAAAAGCTGAACACAAACCGGAAAACTCATCTTTTGGAGACACATGTTTTCCAAGGACACTGAGAATAGAGCTATACATGAGTGTAGAATAACACATGTTATGTTGTTTTGGAATTCACTGACTGCACCAATACAATTCAAGATTTGTCGTAGTGTCAGCCCAAAAATACAGTACGAACATTTCACAAATCTGGCTTTATATATAAAAATATGAATACTATTTTATAGCCACTCTCTGTTTCTCTTTGACTCTAGTTTCCTGTGTGTGTCTTAACACAGGGTGCGTACTCACAGCCTTCATCACCCTACATCCCCCCGGGGGCCTACCCGCCTCCTTCCTGGGGGTCCAGCTCCGACACACAGCCCTCCAGAGTCTCCCATGAGCAGTTCAGGGCTGCTCTTCAGCTGGTGGTCAACCCAGGTCAGAAACGGACAGTAAATAAGTAACACTGAAATGCCATTTAGAAGCATTCCTTCTTTATTCCTGCTGTTGCATTGCATTAATGTGGAGTATGCCTTTGCCCACAGGTGACCCTCGGGAATACCTGGACAGCTTTATCAAAATCGGAGAGGGCTCCACGGGTATTGTGTGCATAGCCAGCGAGAAACACAGCGGCAAGCAGGTGGCTGTGAAGAAGATGGACCTCAGGAAACAGCAGAGGAGAGAGCTGCTCTTTAATGAGGTGTGAAACACTGACCGAGATGGGGCGTAACTGCAGAACACTTATCTCGTGCATGCTCAAACCTAAAAATAGTACATTTAACAGTAGCACATACTACTGGGTGTTATTACTGTACCACATTGAATGTAGGTTTGCTTTTTAATGTGTATTCATTTTGCAGCTTGATGCTGGATGTTATTCTGCAACTGTAGGTCACAACTAAACTGTGTGACATCCACATACCATGTGAAATCAAAGCGAACATTTTTGATTGCTGATAGCTCAAACAAGCAGAAACACATATAAAACTGCCTAATTATATTCATTAAACATGGCTAAATGTGTGCCTTATAGACAAACATACAAATATCACTATTCTACAGCAAAAAATAGCTTTTAACATGTATTCCTTACAACATAAGATCCATAGTAATCTAGCCACCTGCACATTACAACATCTGTAATTGAAATAATTTGCTCAGTAAAAAAAAGAAAGAGAAAACCTTGACTAGGAAATGATTCATAGCTGTCTCTGTTCATGCTATGTACACTATAGGACAACACACACGTGAGCAGTGGGTGTTCAGTTGGGGACTAATTTGCTTTTTGTAATCCTATTTATATTCTGAATGTAATCCTTTTATAGTTAAGCTCCCTGAACATGTTCACATTGGATTAATACGAGTAAAATTAATAAATAATTGAATGTCCATGACTACATTTTATAAATGTTTTTAAATAGTATGTGGTGTCTTTGTTACATATTGGATTTAGATACAAATAATATTAATTGTGTAACATGAATATAGTATATTTAAACATTTATTTATATAATTTACAGGCCAAGGATGGTGATAGCTCTGCACATTGTGAAATTCTAATAACAACACTTCATGTCAATAGAAATTGAGCAAGAACATTTTTTTTTAACTTATTTTCCTTCTCTTTCAATGTTTTATATTTCTGTTTCTGCATTTAAGGTTGTGATCATGAGGGACTACCATCACGAGAACGTGGTGGACATGTACAACAGCTACCTGGTGGGGGACGAGCTGTGGGTCGTCATGGAATTCCTCGAGGGAGGGGCACTCACTGACATTGTGACTCACACCAGGTAACCCTTTCTCTGATAACAATAACAGAAGTTAAAGAGTTTCAGACAAGGAGACAGCGGGCAGTTAAACACAACTCCAACCAGAACCAATCAAAATACATTTTACAAAGGATAAGGATTTTGTTTACTAAAACTTAAAACATCCAAATGAACAGTATGATATCTGGGGGTTTCATGGTGCATTGTCACATATTTTATGGCATTAAAAGTTCTTAAATATAACTGGACAAGCCCCCCCCTGATTTAATTAATCATTTTTTGTGCAGATTAAATAAACGGGATATATCATGTTAATAAAGGAGCTTCAGAGGTGCTCATCGTGTTAGCTTCTGTTAGCTTGGCACAAAGCTAGGCTAACTTGCTGCTCGCTTTTTAACCAAGAGCAGTATCGATCTTCTCATCTAACTCGGTAAGAAACCATTCCTTTAAATACCTAAGAGCTATGCTTTGGGCAGACGGTTTCCAGTGGAAAAGAGTGATAAAAGCTTTAGAATGAAAATAAACTGCTATGATATATTTATGTTGCCAAGAAACAAGGCCACAGCTTTATGTGTTTTGTGTGTGTAAGTGTCAGCTGTGTTGAATGACGTGGCCTTGAGTGTGTATTTAAATGCTGAGATGGACAGAGCAATCTTATATGGCATATCACTTATCACTCTATTTGTAGTCACACTGTATAGATAGATATTTAATTGTTGACACTATCCAATGATAACTTGTGTTTATGAAGTGGTTTTCATTGTTAGTTGTATATCTGCCAAGAGACAGTAATGAGATGCAGAGATGCTAATGAGCTAATAGCTAAATCTGGCATAAATCACCCCCTCTCATTTTGAGATTAATGTTTTTTATGTATTGGTCCTTGTTAAACAAAGACAAATACATAAAAACATTTTAAATGTATGAACAATGTAACGTTCTGGTGTTGTTGGCAATATCAGATTGGTTTTAAAGCAAGCTAGCAAGCAAAAACAGTTTTGTTAAAAATCTTGTTCCTTCATTTTTTTCTAAACATAAGAAACTTAAAAAAGATGAATTGTAAACAGGGAACAAGCAGCTGGGCTGTAATCCAGTCGTGCGTCTGATAGTTTTAGCATTATTGTTCTCCAACTTTTCCGTAATTGCCTCTCTGTGTTTGAGTCGTGTTTCTGAGCCGCCGCCGCCTCATTGTTTTAAGCTTACTTTGTGCTTGGTGTTTAATTACAGTCATTTGCGTGGGGTGTCAGCATTAGAGCTTTGCCGTGTCGGATGCTAATAACACGCTTTGGTGAGGCTGAGCACCGCTGCTACCGTGAAGTATTTTGTACAGTCTCCCACACAGATGTTAGCCTGCTTTTGTGTTCAGTATGTGTGTAACAGAGAGTTTTAGTATACACATGAGTGCTCTTAGAAGTACTAATGCTAATCTCAGTGAAGAGGATATTATTGGGCACACATGTTCTATCTCTAACTCTGCCCTTTTTTATTTCAATTAACTAATTAATTAAAGGGGCCTATTATGCTAATTTCCAGGTTCTTATTTGTATTTTACGCCTCTACTGGGACATGTTTTCATGTCTTAATGTTCAAAAAGCTCTTTATTTATCTCATACTGCCTGTGCTGCAGAGCCTCTTTTCACCCTCTGTCTGAAACCAGAGCCCAGTCTGCACGCACAATGTGTCGGAGCACTAGCCAGTAGAAGGGCGAGTGCGAGGGGGGGGAGTGTGTGGGAAAGAAACTTACTCTGGCGTGAATGGGATGTTAGCCTTTGCAGATCATTTACATGCCCAAAAGACGATACAACACACTACAGGAATGGAAAACCCGAAACAGCATAATAGGGTCCCTTTAAATACTCCAATTGATATTCTTGCAGGTATTACCAATCAGAACAAATACAAAAGAAAAGGAGGAAAAAACTCTAGTAGCTACATGTCCTATCTAAAAACCTGCATATATGTATCTGAAGTCTATAATTTAAACAAACCACTCAATTTAATTATCATGCATTATACTGTATATCCAAGATGGTAATAGAAGGAACATTATTATACAGTGTTTTTTTCCTCTGTAATTTCAGCCATAGTTGTCCAGGTGAAAGCTTTGTGCTATTTCTGTTAAGCCTTTTGTTGTGGAAATAACTGCTGCCTGCCTCGCATCGTGCAAGCCTCATCAGCTCTCTGGGTTATTGGCAGCGGACACACACCGAGACACATGAACACACACACACCGAGATACATGAACACACACACACCGAGATACATGAACACACACACACACACACACACACACACACACACACACACACACACACACACACACACACACACACACACACACACACACACACACACACACACACACACACACACACACACACATGCAGGCACGTCAGCAGTGGCAGAATGGGCGTCTGTCTTACTGAACTATTTCAATCACGTTCATATTTCAATTATTCTTTTAGCGTTTGTTAATGAGCTGCACTTCACTGGGATTTCATCCAATATAAGTGCAAAAGCAAACGTGTGTATGGCACGATGCCTGTGCGTTTGTGTGTGCATAGGTGCGTGTGTAATTCTCCTCCCCTCAACAACCTTTTCAGGCTCATTAAAACTTTGTGTTTTAAACAATTTTCTGTTTGAGCGATCCTGTTTGTGTGTGTGTGTGTGTGTGTGTGTGTGTGTGTGTGTGTATGCGTGCAGGGGGTGGTTGAAAGAGGTGAATTCGTTTTTGCGTATACGTCTCCATCCCATTCACTTTGAGTTAGCCAGTTGTTTTTCCATTAGCAGCAGGCTCATTTATCTCTTGTGATTGTAAATGCATACATGTGTGACAGTAAAATCTGCTGTGAAGTGTGTGTGTGTGTGTGTGTGTGTGTGTGTGTGTGTGTGTGTGTGTGTGTGTGTGTGTGTGTGTGTGTGTGTGTGTGTGTGTGTGTGTGTGTGTGTGTGTGTGTGTGTGTGTGTGTGTGTGTGTGTGTGTGTGTGTGTGTGTGTGTGTGTGTGTGTGTGTGTGTGTGTGGCCTGGCCTGGGGGTTGTTTCTAATAATGCAAGTTTATAAGTGACTACTCAAAATGTGGCATCTTTTAGACTGAGAAATGACAGGAAAAGAGAAATGTGTGTGAGTGTTAAGAAAGTTCAAGGTGTGTGTGTGTGTGGTCTACATATGTATGAAAATGCACTACGAATATGTTGGTCTATGCCTGCAAATGAGCGTGCCTCTATTTCTGTACATGTATGTGACGGCAGCTCGGTGCAAACACTCATAAACACGCGGCATGGCCTGGCCAGCTGGGTCTGGATGTTAATGTGCAGTTGAGCTGTGAGTGTGTGTGAGTGTGTGTGTGAGCTCAGTCAGACGCACTGCATCGCCCTGGCTCTCCATATGGGACCCTCTTGCTGCGCTGCACACCCCGGCCGCTGCAGGCTACAGGGTTCTTTTTTCAAACTGGATTTCTGCTCCATCTTAGTTGTGTTCCACTGTAATCTCTTTCAAATGACAGCAAAGTCTGAAACAGTAGTCATTGCTACCACTCAAAGTCTAGTATGTTATTACTTGAAATATTACATTTGAGGTATTGGCTATATGTTGTGTGTCGTAGTTTTCTACAAATTTAGAAAAAATGACTTAATTGAAGCGATTTAAGACATTCACTTTTGTCTTTGCTTTTTTTTATTATCTCGTCATCCTCCCTCAAACCCACTATCTTATTTTTCACCTTCCCACAATGCACAGCAAAGAAAGAGGTCAAATACAGAAAACACCTGGATTAAAGAGATCAACTAATAAATAAAAGAAAATGATATAATAGATTCTTTCTGAAGCTATGAAAATAAATATAATTCAAAATGATATATGATAATAATTGAACGTTTGTAATGTCTTTAATCAGGAGGACATGATATAGTACATTTACCATGAACATATAAATAAATAAGAATATCTTCAACTCAGCCAAACGAACAATTACAAATCCCTGCTTCTTTATGACGTTCCACTGTCCCGAAATGTCTTTGCATTCAATTTGTAGGTTTTGAAGCACATGAAATAAATTGAAAGTAACAAAGGAAATCAAGCTTAATTTGCTGACAGGTATGTGTATTTGTGTGTGTGTCTTCTTACAGGATGAACGAGGAGCAGATTGCTACAGTGTGTCTGTCGGTGCTGAGGGCTCTGTCCTACCTGCACACACAGGGCGTCATCCACCGAGACATCAAGAGCGACTCCATTCTCCTGACCAGCGATGGCAGAGTAAGTGCACATGATGAGTTTATTCATTTGTGTTTTCATATATTATTCATTAACATCACTCCCTTTGGGGTGCTAATAAACCCTGGAGATGCCCCTTTTAAACTGGGATCTTACCCAGGTATTGAAAACTGTTACCCTCGTTCCTCTCACCGGTGATTTCACACACACTCCCTGACCTTCTCCGTGGGTTCCACTACTGCCACTTGTCAACAGCCAGTGCCAGCAACTCATCATCATAAATTACAACACGTGGCCCTGTAATTAAATCCTGCCTAATGCGTCCTAACGAGCTGATAAGACATGATTAATTGAAGGCTAATTAAGCACTAATACAGGAGATTAGTGTCTTATATGAAGGCTCTTCATCACAATGGGTCAGTGCTCTTCCTGACATCAAACACAGAGGTTCTGAACTCATGTAATCTACACAACTACAAGATGAAGAGGGGAACCTGAAGGCAGCACTGTTTGTGTGTTTTTTGCAGATCAAGCTATCAGACTTCGGCTTTTGTGCCCAAGTTTCCAAAGAGGTGCCCAAGAGGAAGTCCCTGGTGGGCACGCCCTACTGGATGGCCCCCGAGGTCATCTCTAGACTGCCTTACGGGACTGAGGTGAGGATTACACACACAAAGATTTACATTGAGATGTATGATGCTGTATGTGCTAGCTCCAGTACAGAGAATGAAGGATTTTGTGTGCGTATCCAGGTGGACATCTGGTCTTTAGGCATCATGGTTATCGAGATGGTGGACGGAGAGCCCCCCTACTTTAACGAACCCCCTCTGCAGGCCATGAGGAGGATACGAGACAACCTGCCCCCCCGGCTAAAAGAGTCCCACAAGGTAAGAAAGACTTCACAGCAAGTGTGTTGGACAGTAAGCACAGGGAAAGGACATTCTAAAGGGAAACATGCAAGACATCATTAATGGATCCTTCCAGAAATAAGTATATGATTGCTCTAAATGACCAACATTCAGAATCAGAATACCTTTATACACATCCTGTAACAGTTCTGAAGATCTAGCAGCCAGATATATTTTTGCACAGTTATTAACGGCATATATATATTGCACATATTGCCCATAGTTGGTATTTATCAACAAGGGGTGTTATAGTCTGTGTTGTTGTGTGTGGGGGGGGTCTACTAGGGGCCGTGGTGGTTATATATATATTCATGTTGATCATCATGTTGGACAGAGACACAAACTAATAAATAAAAACCTTCACCATATTTGATAATACATTTATCTTGGATCTTCCTTCCTGGCTGCATATCTGGTCATTTCGGATACGGGATACACTACACTGAAATATTTAGTGATTTGTGTCCTGACTTTTTGTAGAAGGTCATGCTACATATGACCTTTTCTTCTGTGTTTAGGTTTTCTCTTATGTAGAAGGCCTGGTACCGTTTCACTCTTTGTGTGTGAACCAGAAATAACAGCCAGTGTCAGTAAATCTTTGCCCCTCTGATTAGTATGCTGGCTGGCAGGGTGTCTTTAAACCAGACAAAGAGTTTACAGCCATGCTTTCAGCTCTCTGAGGCTGCATTTCAAACAAGCAGTGCTTTGACTTAAGGCTATGTCAGCATGCTTACAATGACAATTATAACACATTGACATTTTAGCAAACATTGCAATATAGAAAGGTGCAATATACAAATCGCAGGAGGTGTAATAGGCAGAACATTATGGAATCTGGTGCTGACGAGAAGTCATGATATAATATTGTAAATAATATAGTAATTGTAATACCAGTCAAAATAATAGCAATTACATATTTTTCTAAACCATTCAGCCTTGCAACATATTGCAAAAGTATCTTTTTTATCATGTAAACCAGGGATTTCAAACTCACTTTCATCACGGGCCACATCAGCATTATGGTTGCACTCAAAGGGCCGGTTGTAACTTTAAGACTATATAAATATACATATATAAATATTTAATATATATAAAATAATATATTATATTACGTTATTGCCTCTGCTTTGGATTATTATTATTGGATAGGGTAAGAACTTCATAATTAACTACGTCTGAAAGCAGAAGTCCAGGGCGAAGAATTGCAAATAACTGCAAGTCTCTTTAGTGCGCACAAAATGAGATGCATTGTGGGACAGTTTATGGGCAACATGCTTCTGTAAAGCGGGCCACACAAAATTGAGTTTGACAACCCTGATGTAAACCATGATTCAAATCGCCAGTTCTTAATCTAATTAGTTTCTTGTGTAATAAACACAAAATCAAAGCCAAATTCAGGACTAGATTACACCCTCTATTGTGTCCTCAGGTGTCCTCTGTGCTGCGCTCCTTCCTGGACCTGATGCTGGTGCGGGAGCCTTCGCAGAGAGCCACGGCCCAGGAGCTCCTCCAGCACTCCTTCCTCAAGATGTCCGGACCCCCTTCCTGCATCGTGCCCCTCATGAGACACTATCGCCACCGCTGAACTGCTGCTGGCCCCAAAACCTGCCCTGTTCTACACTAAAAAACACACACATACACACACTAGCAGGGTGGCACTGCCCTCACCCAGCCATCCACCCCCAGCGCTCGGTGGCGCGCCACTAACACTCACACCTGTTACCGTGAAGTAGATTAGCTAGAGGAACATTTGAGAAATTACATTTAAAAAACAGACAATGGAGAAAAGAAGACAAAAGTCTTGTTGAAACTGAACTGGAGTAGAAGAGTAACTCGCTGGACGTCCAGTAGAAGCGTGTGGGCTTGCTCGCCCTGCTGCAGTCTTCTCTCTTCCTTCACTTTGAAGTCTGCAGCTCCATGTAGAGTTGTAGAAGCCATCAGCAAGAGCTTCAGAGGGCTGTGCTGATCTGCTGACGTAGTGGAGGTCTCCGCTCCAGACCAGAGCAGTGGAGGGCAGAACAATCATCTGTGCTAGAGAGGGCTCTGACTGGTAATGACTGTTGTACGGCTGCTGCTCAAACAGAGACCACCTCTCTCGTATCGCTCCTCATACACTAACAGTGAAAATGTATTTTAGAGAAACTTGTAAGTTTTTCTGTACAGTTTTGATAATTTGCAGTATTTTATCGTGTCGTAACCATTGTGATATGAGCAGTATTAAATAGAGTTTCTGCAGAGATCTTTCCTACTGTTTATAATCCAGTTTTTGCTTAAAGATATAAGAGAAACCCAAATAAACCCACCTTAACTGTTACTAAAAATACTAAATATATTTATTATCTTACATTTGTAGACAGAACTTCCATTAAATGTTGGAAAAAAGGGTAATGACAGAATTTTGTATGACGTTTTGAAGTATTTATTTATTTATTATTGGAATTGAAGGTTTATTTTTTTGGTAGTGTGGCCTTTTTGTTTGTTTTGTTATGTTTCCTTGTTGGGTTTTTGATTCACATTTCTAAAAGCGCATCGCAGACAGTGCTGTCAGTTGTTATATCATCCAAGCAATACCCCAAATTTATTTATGAACCATGATGCCCTGTATTTATGATACTGTAATTACGCCATGCATTTAAATGTAGCACAGATGGAGTGGATTTGACAAAAAAAAGAAGATGTACTCCACGCAGACCTGTTTTCTTTTATATTAGGAGTCTCATCCTGTTTCTGTAAATGCTAAGAGGCGCCCATCCAAGACGCCCGCCTCCCGCGCAGATTTTCGGATGCTGATAAAAGGTCTCGTTTTCTACTCACATCCTCACTGTCATCATCTCACTCCTTATCCCACCTCAGTCAGACACACTACTCGCTATCACTGGAACTGTGCTGCCATTCCCATCTCTGGTCAGGCCGGGAGAACAGTATAATCCTCCTCCCCGCATCGTTTTTACCCATCATTCACTGTGATATGTAAATATGACTGTGTGTGTGTGTGTATATGTGTGTGTGTGTGTGTGTGTGTGTGTGTGTGTGTGTGTGTGTGTGTGTGTGTGTGTGTGTGTGTGTGTGTGTGTGTGTGTGTGTGTGTGTGTGTGTGTGTGTGTGTGTGTGTGTGTGTGTGTGTGTGTGTGTGTGTGTGTGTGTGTGTGTGTGTGTGTGTGTGTGTGTGTGTGTGTGTGTGTGTGTGTGTGTGTGTGTGTGTGTGTGTCAAAGAGCAAAAGAGGTAGAGCGTGTTTATCTCTGTACAACATCTGAAAGTGTGTGCGTGTGTGTGTGTGTGTGTGCTGCTGGCTAATCCTTGACAAAGTGTCAGGACTTGAATGAGTAACACTTATCTGTGGTGTTGGCTTGTACAGTGATATTGCATGTTTGTTATCAGTGAAGCTGGTTTCAATTAAAAAAACGCCCATAAAAACATTGAGATGTGTTGCATGGATTTTTCCTTCATTACCCTACAGTCTCCTCTTCTTCTCTGTGTCTCATACCAAGCAGAGATTTTTTTTTTTTACACTGTCAGATTATTCAAAGGAGTTCCTCTCAGTCATCAACAGTTTATTTTCTCTTTGTTGTTTGGGTCTTCCATATTCTCTTAATTCAACAGTTCTCATTTCCAACGATTTCCCCCTAACTTCACCTCCGAACAGAAGGCAGGAAGACACATCCATGGATCACCGTTGCCATAATATAGGAGGTTATTTCTCTTTCTTTCCTCTAAGCCATTTCCCCCTGAAACACTGTAATGGGATATTGATTTAACTTGGACAGAGAATGGAGCTTTTTTCTCAGAGAAAGATACCTCTGCTGACAGTCCCAGTAAATAAAGCACAAGTACCTGAGGCCAGTGGGACTGCAGGGCATCAAACTCATGACTGGAGAGCCACTGAGTTACTATTAAGGTCAATAGTATACATCCACATATCAAAAGACCACACTCAACTGCTCAACACAGAACCAGCATCGCTTTATTGGTATAGGAGACTCGAGATTATGAATTGTTACCTAAAAAGGTTTGTTGGCGATCTTGCACAAGCTTAAAATTGACAGCATTGTGTTGTTTTTAAATTATTTTCACAGCAGACATTTTGACACCTTACTAAAGTAAAAGCACACTTTATCAATGAATAGCTTAATTCAAGGCCAAAGCTACCATTTATAACAGTAAGGTCATTTATTTTAACAACCTGAGGAGGTGTTTATGAGAGCCAGTATAATGTAACTTTTATAGGCAAAACTAACACTAATAGCCTACATCTGAATAAAATTAAGAGATTTAGTATATCGTTGAAAGTTATATTGTTGGCAAGTCTTTTGTATTTTAACATTATATAGGCTCGGCAATGTCAAATAAATAAAACTGAACAAATAAATTAAAAGTATAACATTTGTAAAGGCGTAAGTTACCGTAACACTTGAATGCAGCAGAGCCGTGTGTTCCCTTTCATGTCAAGTCTGACATATTTTAAACACTTTTCACGACGAGTATCATGATAGACAGTTAAAGGTCTAAATATGGATTGTTTTTTTTGAACACTTAGACATTGTTTGTCTATTTTAGCCCATTAAAGGTGGGGTAGGTAAGTTTGAGAAACCGGCTCGAGATACACTTTTTGTTATATTCCATGGAATGCTCTTAACTTCCCGATAGCAATGAATATATTAAGTGCTTTGACAAAAAATCCATAAAAAAATGTCATCTGTGGAAGCCGTAGTACTGTAAAAAGCACGACCAATCATTTTAGCCGGCCCGGCTAAAATAACTGGATGGCCTACCTGCCTGTCAGCCTTCCATCTGTGCACAAACTTATCTCGTGCCCTCATTGGTCATGTGCGCGTTCGTGTGTGTTGGAGGAGGGGCTCTGTAACGGTACGTCTACACAGCAGCGTTAAAAAAATCTTGGAGGTGGGCGTATCTGAAGCTTGGGGATTTTTTGCGAACAACCAATCACATGAATCTCCCGCCCGCGACATACGAAGCAAAAAAGCCCGAAGTAAACTGGATATAAACTCCCCAAAACAGGCGAAAACATACCACTGTCTCTGCCACCTCCCTCCATGCCTGGCTCCTCCGGTTTATATCCCGGTAGGTCTGGTCATAAAGCACCGGGTGATTGATTCGCTACCGCTAATTTCTCCTCCATTTTTTGGAATATGAGGAAATGACCTGCGGTATGTCTCTCCCAGCATACACGCCGTTTGATTGGCTAGAGCTTGAACTGTCAGATTTGCGTACACGGGATTTGATTGGCTGACGCTTCCACCTCAGCCTCAAAAGTTGAACATTGTTCAACTTTGAATCCTGAAAATCCTGAAAATCTCCGCTCGCCTGCCCACAATGCATTTCGGCGAAAAGTGAGGGAAAGTGACGTCACCCCATTCAAAGTGAATGGGCAGAAGCGTTTCAAGATTTTTTTAACGCTGCTGTGTAGACGCACCGTAAGGAAGTGGCAGATTTTTTCCGGCTGTGTATTTTCAAATTCTAGCGCACTCGAGCTGGTTTCTCCAAAATTACCTACCCCACCTTTAAGCTAGTTAGCATATGGAAAACATCAACTTGCCAACTATTCACTGAAACATGTTCATGTTGCTGAGTTTTTAGAAGAAAGGATAAAGAAAAATTGAACAATTTTGTCCAGGCGGGAAGATATAAATGAAGCTCAACAACAGGTAAGTCTTCAAAATGAAACAGTAGGTTCATCTCAATAGAGAGGCGAAGTCCCTCCCCTTCCGGTGGACCTCCATGGGACCTTATTTCGGAAAAATTATGTATTGAAGTCAATGGCGAGAGAAAGATTATCTTTCGATCCCGTTGAATTGTCCCACGAATTACACATATGATGTTTGTCAATTTAAAAGATAATTTTGCAAGTCAAAAAAACAAAAATGTGTCGTAAAACTGTGAAGTAACACATTTTTTTGTGTGAAACGCTCAATGAACTACATCTCTGGTCTCACAGAACAACACACGTCACCAAGAAGGCCGTCACTACTGTCTTGCCAAAAAAGGGATGACTATCACCACAATGAAACACGTCCAGAAGAATGTCATGCAAAGCTGCCTGCCTGCCTTCCTTTGATTCTCTCTGAACTGCCTGATCTTTTTAATGTTCAATGTCGACCATTTGTGCAGATAGCATGAAGTAGAAAAGATTGCAGATGCTAATGTAGCGTTAGCGTTAGCATTTCTCCACCGGGGGCATCCGGGCTTAAATGGTGTATTATAGAATGATCACACCGGTGTGACAGTAGGCTACTCTTCAAAGGGTTCACGAATTATGACTACTACTCTTACTGTTTAACATTTTGGGTTACTTAATCTTACTTCATGTTAAGGCTAATAAAAATGACAAGGCTAAGGCTGTAATGCTAACTAACGTGCTTGCTACTAGCTAGGTAGCTAACTTGATCCAGCCACTCCTGGTCCTTTCATCAGACGGGAAGCGAAAGAACGAGCAAGACCCATTGCTGGTATGATAACAACCTGGTACTAAGCACACAGGCATCTTGTTAAAGTTATCTTAGCTATCTCTTATATTTAGAGGAGGAAAACAATCATGACATCACTTACGCGACTCTGGGATTTGTAGTCTTTCTAGTTGCATATTTTTCATAGTCTTATATTTCAACAGTTTTACGACAAACTCTGACTTTTTTGACATGGAAATGATTTTTTAAGTGTGTAATTCATGGCACAATTCAAACGGGATCGAAAGATAAGTTTTCTCTCCCCATTGACTTCAATACATAATTTTTCCGAAATAAGGTCCCAAGGGGCGGAAGTAGAAGGGCGGGACTTCGCCTCTCGAGAGCAGACTACGCGGAAGTGTTTTCACTACTCGCGCATCAGAGCTCCGCCCCAGCTGCACAGCCTCTGCTCACTGCAGCTGATCTTACCGAGGATCAGTCATTAAATGTTTAAAGAGCTTCATTAATAGTAAAATATATTACATCTCTTAAACGAATGAGGAAATCATACTCTATAAAAACATTAAAGTGTGTGAAATACTTACAAATTCAATAATGATGTTTTGATTATAAAAGAATAACTTACAGTTCTTACTTGTGGTTTGTGATGCATGTGTGGTAGAACCACAGAACGTCAGACATTTAGGATATACGGGTAGCATAACTAATACATATTTTAGTGATTTGTGTCTCTCTTCTGTAGGACAAATTAAATAACAACATCCAATACAAAAGTTGATCTGAAACAAGCTCAAATACCATAATGAAATTAATCCAT